TGAAGTATACTGAAGTATATTATTGTTTCATATTTTTCATGTCAGGGCTTTTCATAGCCGACCACAAGATGTGGGTTTTTCTCATTCTCAAGGCCATATGGTTGCCTTTAATTGCTTACATCCACTTCATTTGAATTTTGGTGGATAGCTGTCTCATTAGCAATCATACCACCTCTCATTACTTTTATATTGTAGCTTTACTGTGTTGCATAATCTATACTAATTCCTACCTGAATGAAGTGCTTTTAATGTTTCTGTAAAAATAATGTCTTTCTTGATCTCCTGTACGAACTGTGACGCCCGTATATGACACGGAAACCAGGCGTAAAAATCATACTTTATACGGGCGTCATTGCAGTGTTTAAGGAATGCATGTCCAAGAGTAATTGAGGCGGAAACCAGGCGTAAAATTAGGCGTAATATTTAAATGAGTACGCCTGGTCCAGAGAAAACCAGGCGTAATATGCAAATGAGTACGCCTGGTCAATAAATAAACCAGGCGTAATATCCTTACATAATACTACACTTATTTCAAATCAGTGTATTACCCTAGCTGTGTACTTTTGTGTATTTAATACAAACTTCTGTACTGTTGCTTTAATTTTTCATTGTTTGACATAAAACTGGAAATATTAACCATTGAAGAAGCTAATATATAAATAAATACATTTTAGACAGACAGCCTGGCTCAAATAAGTTTAAAGTTTGAATAAGAATAATGACAATTAATTTTTCTTGAAATAAAACTTGAGAATTTTAATGAACTAAGTTTTTTTATAAATTAATGTCCTTTAAAATATAATGATAATACTGCAATTTAACTTCATGTAAAATATTTTAATGTTATTATCCAAGGATAAAGGTTTTGGGATTTCAAAATTACTGTTAGAACTTAAAACTTAATAACTTAATTAGGTTATACTCACATAATTATTATTTATCATGTATTACTTTCCATTTTTTTCACAATTTTTATTAATCAATTTTATGATTCCATATTTCCAATTTCAAATTCTTCCAAGAAGCACAAAACAAGCTAATTATCCCTGAATGTATGAAGCTGCCATAAGTCCAACTCTTGCAAACTAAAACCAAAGAGCCAAATTTTGAAAAAAATTCCCATGATCCTTTAAACAAAGCATTATGGGTATTATGATTTACGCCATACCAACAGTTTTTCGCCCGTAAGAAAATTTACACCTTGCTTATTTCAATTTACGCCAGGTTTACTACTTTTTTCTATGCCCGTAAGGACTACAAATTTACGTTTCCTGCTCCCTTACGCTTGGATCTAGACACGTAACTACCACTTACGCCTGGTTTACGTCTTATTTCCAGGCGTAATACGCCTTATAATTTCATACGGATCTGTATGATTCTATAAATAGCTAAAGAAATATTATTCTATATCCAATCAATTTGTCAAACTGGACAACATATTTAAAAGGAAAATTATAGGGAACAAGACAACATTTTGGCCTTAACTCACACATGAATGAAGTGCTAGAAAAAATATAATTATTTGTTGCACAACAGACAAAAAATGTAAGATCCCTTTTGCCCTTTCCAGTAAATACTGAATATAAATAAAATCATTAAAAATTTATAATGTGGTTTATACAAAGTCCTCAGAAATGGTCTTGATTATTTTTAACTGTATTTGTTCTATGTTTGACTAGAGTACCGATTCTGGATTGTAGATATACTAAAGGTCCATTCATAATTTGTTGTAATGTTGTACTTAATATTTAAGTGTCTGTTGTTTATACTGTACATATTTCTCCTTTGGTCAGTGGATGTGTGTTTTGTAATAATGAAAAGTATATAACGCCTGAGTAAACATCCAGAAAAACAGTTACCTCCCTGCAAAAATCTTTTGACCTGACATTAAAAACCTGTCTAACTTGCAGAAATATGTGCCCAATGAACAAAATCCTCAAAGTCACACATAATTGTACAATTAAATGAGACTTACCTTAAGTCGAAATTTGATTGTAATTTTGTTGAACCTATTTATGCTGAGAGTTAACATGAGATGCGCACGCAGATCGTAGAGGTCACTTTTCAGAGAATGTAACAGAGCACATAAGCACATGATACACCAAAAGAAACTGGGTGGGAATACGAGTGATAGGGAGGGCATGTTAACTCTCAGCATAAATAGGTTCAACAAAATTACAATCAAATTTCGACTTAAGGTAAGTCTCATTTAATTGTACAATTTTATTGAACCTATATGCTGAGAGTACCATGAGATTTCAGAGATATGTGATCTGTTACTCATGTTCACTGTAATTTATTACAGCCTCATCAATCATGATTTATTTTCAGGCTTTAAAAAACAAGATGTTGTATCAACTTTGTATTCTATCAAAGTACAAAAGTAAAGTAAATCAAACATACATTGACATATGCACATGTTATGTTAAACTTTAAAATGTCACTGATTGTAAATCTAACATATGTATTATCATTATTCATGTTATACATGAGACTTATCAGAATTTGATAAGAATTGACTTCTCAAAACCTTCACACTATAATTATCATTATAATTTTGTTTAGATACAGGTTTATCATAAAATTTTCTGAATGTTGATTCATTTGACCAACCTGCCGCTTTTAAAATAGTATCTACTGAAGTAGCACACCGTAGTGCTGCAGATGTACTTGCTGATCTAGTACTATGTGGTTTGTATATAGTTATGTCTACACCAGACGTTTGCAAGACAATCTTAACCCAACGTCCAAGAGTGTCTTTAGACACATGAGAATATGGTTTTATACAGCTCAAGATTAATTTTTGGGTTTTCCGAAAACATGATGTTCTAACTAAATACTCTTTTAGAACAGTTACAATACACAGACTATTATCCTCAATAAAAGCTGGCAACTCTATTGGTTGTAAATGCCTCCCTGGCTTTGAACATTTTAATAAACTTCTCACATCTATATATATGTTACTATCTGTAACAGTTATATCATCTAAATCTAAGCTATGAATGGTTTGTAACCTTTGACCTGTTAACAATAATAGCAGTGTAACTAGCTTATATGATAAAACACGTAAAGATAACATATAAACTGGTGTTAATGTCTTCAAATATTTAAGCACGACTTCAACATCCCAGGTTCTTTGATATCTGGGTAATGATGGCTTAAGATTGAATATGCCTTTTAGAAAGCGCTTCACCAATGGCCATTGCCCAACAGTTTTCTCTTGATTTACAGACATAAATGAAGATAACATACTTCTGGCAGTATTAATAGCACTGTAACCTAAACCTATTTTATATAACGAAGTTAAAAATTCTAAAACATTTAACTCAGTGGCTTTAAATGAATTAATTTTTCGTTCACTACAAAATAACAACCATCTTTTGAAATATGTCCAATATTGTTGTCGAGTAGCTGGTTTCCAAGATGCAATGATGATTTCGGAAGATTCTTTTGATAATCCATAATTTTGCAAGATTTCCCCGATATCCTGAAAACTGCTAATCGTAATTTCACTAAATGATGCTCTTTTGTTGGATTCTGGGGTTGATAAAGAAGATTTTTTCGACTGTTTATTATAAATGACTGTGCCACAATCCGATGAAGTATTTGTGGAAACCAGTTCTGAGTGTTCCACAATGGTGCCACTAATGTCATGTCCGCTTGATCCTGGTCCACCTTTTGCAATATCTTCCCCATCAGACTGAAAGGTGAAAAACAATAACAATTAATGTTACTCCATTTTACAGAAAAAGCATCTACTGCTTCAGCATATTTATCAGGAAAGTAAGAGAAATAACGTGGTAATTGATGATTAAATTTTGATGCAAACAAATCTACATCATGTGGTCCAAATAAAAAATCAATAATATTAAAAACATCATCATGCAATTTCCACTCAATATCCACATTTATTGATCTCGATAGTCTATCTGCTTCTATATTAGCAACTCCTGGCAAATGACAAGCAGTAACCCAAATTTTTCTTTGTATACACCAAATCCACAATTCCTTTGTCAAATTGTTTAACTTTACAATGCGGCCACCCATTTTATTAATATAATTCACTGCGACCATGTTATCTAGATACACTTTTACATGAATGTTGTTTCTTGACGAACAAAACCAAATTAATGCTAAAAATGCTGCCTTAAGCTCTAGAAAATTAATATGGTTTTTCTGTTCTTCATATGACCAAAACCCTTTGGTTTCGAACAATGTATCTTGCACAACTGCACCCCAACCAGTGTTTGAACTATCAGTGTTAAGAATAAACTTCGGATCTATTAAAGTTATTGGTTTGAAACTACTATTTATATTATTAACCCACCAATTTAAATCTGAAATATTTCCATCTGACAAAGACATTTTTGCATCAAAATTTCCATAATTTTGTTTAAATAATATATCTTTTGTAATTTCTAAAGACCTTATATATAATGGTGCATACTGTACACCTGGTTCCGTTGCTACTAATTTTCCAATAACTTGTGCAAACTCTCTTATTGTAATCTCTTTTTTGAGAATTAACCGACTACATAATTTAATTATATTGTCTGCCTTTTCTTCTGTTACTCTAATACACATTGTTATTGAATTAATCACAAAACCCAAAAATACAATAATTTGAGTAGGTTGAAGTACAGATTTATCTGGATGTATGGTAAAACCAAGATGATCTAATAATTGTACTGTGTCAATTATATTACTTTGACATCCAGAAAAGGTCTTGCTCACAAGTAAACTATCATCAATATATGGTGTGTTGCAATGTCCTTTACTTCTCAGTTTTGAAAAAAAACAACTTTTAAAATTTTTGTGAAAATTCGCGGTGCTGTTGTTAATCCATTTGGCAAACAAGTGTATTCATACAAAACCTCATTCCAATAAAATCTAAGATATTTCCTATCTTTTTCATTGATGCTAACAGAATAGTATGCATCTTTTAAATCAACAGAACCAAACCAGCAATTTTGTGTAATGTTTGTTATTGCTGTTTTAAAAGTTTCCATCTTAAAGTGAATTTGTTCAATATCAAGATTTAACTGTTTTAAATTTAAAATTACTCGATAAGTGCCATCTTTCTTGGGTCTCACAAAAATATTTGAAACATACTGATCCTTAATTGGAGTAACAGGTTGAATAATTGTTTTTGAAATAAACTTATCTATTTCTTTTTGTACATATTCATTTTCTTCACTGCTGAATACAAGTGGGTATGGCTTTATAAGCTGTGTAGGAATGTTTTCAAATTCTAACTGATAACCTTTAATAATATTTAAGATCCAATAGTCAGATGTTAATTCCTTCCATCGATGAAAAAACTTTGAAATTTTCCCCCCAATAAAATTATTAGGAATATTTTGAAGTTTTATAGCAGTTAAGTCAATCAAGTGATCATTTGTACTTACATCACTATCAGAAATAACATGATCTACTTTTTGTCTTTGTTTATCTTCTTGTTTAATGTCTTGCTGCGGTCTAAAAAACCATCATCATCATATTTCCTTATTCTTTTGATTGGTTTTCCTCCATCAATGTGGCGTTTTCTTTTCCCAAATTTATGAGGAAATCCACGCCCTCCATGGCCATGATGGCTACGTCCCCTGTTAGAAGACTGATATGAGTTCTTGGGATTATCATACGTATAATTATGGTCCTTCCCAACTTTTTTACACACACTATGCTCCGCATCTAGCTCTTTGATTTTTTCCTTAATATCGTCCCCAAACAGCATGTCAGTGACTGGTGTGGTATCATCACACAGACCTTTATACTGGGGTTGAATGTCCCCCTTAATGAAACTCCTTCGTCTGAAGGTTATTTCGCTATAACAAGCTTGAAATAGCTGGTACGTATCTCTGCACGTAACTGCATATGCTTGCAGTTCCTCTCTAGACATTCCTTCTTTCTTTGAAGATTTATCCACAAACATATCCATCATATACATCAATGGGCAAGCTGTTTTAGACAAAAGATTCTGTAAACGTTGTAATTTTACATCCACATCTTTATTCCGTGGTGTCATTTGTTTCCAAATACCTACAATTATAATATAAATTTAGTATATATACACTAAAAGTTTATAATGTGTATATTATTATTACATGTAAAGGATTCTTACGCAATATTTATACGTGTACACATTTCGCATAATCATGATAATTATTGCGAGTTTTTAATCATATTTATAATACTATATTATTTATTGCCATGTAAATTATGGTTTGTATTATAAAAAATTGATTTGCAGATACACTTGATTTTTCACAAGATAAAATTTTTTATTAAAATGCAATTTAATTGCATAAATCCTCACCTATGTTGACTCGTGGGACTTTTAGACTGCTCACATTAGCAGGCTTATCATATTTCTTTGTGAGATCTTTGTATTTTTCTTCATTGACTCGTGTCCTCAGTCCCTGGTTCATGTATGAGGCTAAACCAGAATTAATTTTTGGACCTGTCTTTTCATCTGAACTAATGAAGGCTTTCATGGATTCTAAGACATTTTCATTTTCTGCCTTTTCAATATCATTATATCTACTTCATTCTCAGAACATGCTTCATCATCGCTATCGTAACTTTCGTCACTAGAAATATCTGAATATAATTCAGACGGTGCAGATATGTTTTTAGTTTGGTTATTGTTCATATCATTATCAAACAAACTGTCCAGTTGCGATTGGTAATCATCCTTTGTGGGTTTATTTTTCACGACCTTTCTTGGTCCGGCCATTGTTGCCGATTGTCTAGGATTTACCTTTGTGGAACTTTGTGTAGTATCAGTTCTTGAATTCTGATTTTTCATCAAAGTTTGGATATACAATTGATTTTGCAGTAGCATATTGTAGATATCCGGTGTGACTACTTCCGGAGTGTGAGTGACAGGAGCATTGCTCATGGCTCCTCCTCCTACATTAATGTTTTCAATGCTTGCTTGAAATCCACTAATATTGTTATCATAACCTGGCGAAATAAGTTGCCTGTGGTCATTCATAATGCTAAAAATATTGTCACTTTTTGAACTAGTCTTGGCCGTGCCAGAAAGTTCCGATACCGAGTCAATGCTCGAATGTTCAGCCATGTCATTAACAAATGTATGCTGACAACGTGACAAATTATCCATCACAAGCTACATCGTTAGAATATTAATCCATCAAAAAACTATATCAAATCGTAAAGTTTGTATTCCAAATGTCACAAATATATTAATTTCCAGTTAAAAACAATTAAGATATCCATTATTTTCAAATAACATAAGAGGGATAAATTCCATGACTTGACCTCATAAGACCAAATACGCTAGTGACCTCTACGATCTGCGTGCGCATCTCATGGTACTCTCAGCATATAGGTTCAATAAAATGAGTTCTTAAGACAATTAATTTAAGCAACATTTTAATTATCCTGATTTGCTTCAGAACTCTCCATTTGAACTCATGATATGTAAAATTAAGCATTAATAGTACTTATATCAACAATATAATCAACATAATTCAAAATCCTGCTCTATCCCATTGTAAATAAATTTCTGTGTAAATACATGTATTGCGTAGCAGTGCCAGTTGTATCCAGGTTTGAATGAAACATAAATCATAAATGAACTATAACTTTTATTATTCTATATTCATCACTTAAGTTTGGCCCTTGGGGAATCTACTCAGCTAAAATTAAAAATTTTGCTCCATGCCTAAGCCAAGAGCCTATGTGCGTACTGAAAAGTAGCAAAGTAATGACCCCTGGCTTGACATCACACCAATCCAAATAAATGCGTGAGGCTATCAGGAAGCATATGAGGCTATCAGGAAGCCTATGAGGCTATGTCTGAGGAAGCCTATGAGGCTATGAGGAAGCCTATAATGATGCTATGAGGAAGCCTATAATGATGCTATGAGGAAGCCTAGTATGTGGCTATGAGGAAGCCAAGTAGTGTTGATGTTGAATTGGTGTTGGAATGAATTTGTATGAAATTTGACAGTTTATCCCCAGAAATTCTTGGGGAATGAGTGAAATTTTTGAAACAACCAGTGATAAAATTTCATAAATGTCCATAACACAGATGGTAACAGCTGAGTGTCCCCAAGGATTTGTGATGTAAGGGAGGGGATACCTTCAATAAAGCCATGAGAAAAAAAAATAAAATAAAATACACACAAAACATAAAAGAAAAGCTAAGAATAATCACATAATGATAACACATAAAAAACAAACTTTAGTCACAGAACAATACTGAATCTACTTTGAAAACATTCATGCATATTTCTTCTTATTTTAATATATATGAAAAACTTGAGAAATAACATTTTCTTAAAGCTAGCTAACCTACTTTGAAAAGATTTTATAGATACTGGTGTTACTAAATACATCTACTGTAAATATCTGAAGACCAGCTTGATCTTGTATTTGTCTTTCCAGCTCTAGAAGCTGTCCCTATTCTAAAGCTATTATCTGAGTAACATATAAGTACATATTGTCTTTCTAAAATTTCTTATCAATGGTTAAGAAAAGTGGGTCAGTTGGATGGATAGGAGTAAATTCCTACATTACTGTATGAATTCTAATAAAATCTTGTATAGGCAGATAAGTATTAATTTAATTAAGCCATAATTTATGTAGCTGAATGCCTATGTCCTTTCTAAATAGAACAGTTTTGATATTTTTTAAATTTAAAAACTATTAAAAAAAATTAAGTAGGAGTAAAATGCAGCATCTATAATACATAGATTTACAGCTGGATCAAATGTATATGAGGCCTTGAAAATGTAAACTTGCCACATCTATATAAAAAACAAATCCATAAAAGCTACAAAGCATGCAGTTTTTATCATCAAATCAGTAAACTTGAAGAAAAAAAAACACTTTTTGCAGACAATAACTATTTTCTCTAAAATCAAAAATATGGTAATCTGATATATCTTGGTTTTTGCAGCATATTTACAGAATTTAAAACATGTTCAAGCTTAATTACGGTGTATTCAATACTTTCTGAAAGCAAAGGATAATTTTCATTACCTTGCAGATACCTTTACCTTATTCTATATAAATACAAATTAATGGTAGAGTATAGTAAACTCAGAATTTAAAGCAATATTATAAAATCCTCAGAAACAGCAGGTAAACAAGTAATTATAATCCATTAACTAACATAAAGGTCTCAAACTTCTGAACCCAGTCTCATAAACAGTTCCTGTAGTATTAGCATGTTTAACTTACTGTTCCAAAGATCATCAACTGCTGATTTAGGACCACATTACATCTGAGCTGCATGGGCACCTCATTGAAAGTTGTGCTACACTTAGGGTCTGGTTTGTGAAATCTGTCCAGAGATGCATGTTGAAATGAGGAGGCTCTAGTATCTAATGTTTGTATGGTTGAATATGGATAATGTGTCCTGTTCAAAATATGGGAACATGAACTCTGATTAATATGACTAGTTGCTGAACATTATGCATTTACTACAGATGAAGTTGAATCCACAACTATAAGTATTAGTCCCTTTGTTCCAAATTTAGTTAATCTAGTTTAATTAGTCCAGGTTTAAAATATCCCATTACACAACAGTAAAACATCTAGAGCACTGAGATTTAACATTAAAGTCTCTTGGGCATGTACCATGGAGATCTGAACTGCTTGGTACTGAATTCTCTGTCATTTATCCAAGAGTATAGAACAGTTTATAACATGATATGAATACCATCAATGTTCAAGTATATAATGTATATATGACTGAGCAGCAATTAAGTCTGTGGAGGTGTTGATCCAACTAGCATTAAATAATATAGTCGATCTGTTGCCATAGCTATGCAGAAAAAGAAGCATGTCAAACTAGTAGTCCAATGCTTGTGATTGTCCATCTGATGTTCCCAATGTGCATACAGGAGGTGCAACGTCTTGTTTCCCTCAGTGTATAAATATGCAAATAAAAGAAATGAAGAAAGTGTCATTTTTCACAATATTTCAAATGCTGTTATAAAATATAAAATTGTTTGTGATGTAAGTATCTATCTGTAAAGCTAGCAAAGTAACGATTTAATTAACATTTAGAAAAAATGTTTATACTTATATGTTCACATGTGCTTAGGCGGCGTAAAGCAACCACAAATCAATCAATCAATCTAAATGTTCCATTTACCAACACAATTTCGATTGACTTATATTATGGAGATGCCGTATAACTATAACAACATAATTGTTTCTCTTTGTACATAATGCAAGGAAATATATGGTAAATAGATCATGAAATTAATTTGGTAGTAAGTGGAGTCTATGTTATAAAATATAGATATTATACTAAAGAATAATCAAAATTATCACATGAAGATGAAGAAATGAATACAATATCTGACATATATATGCTATTGTCAATAACCAAGTTAGCTTATGTGAATACCAGTGAATAAATATTCAGTGTCTACTTCACAAATAATACAAGATGGTCTTGAGTTATAGCTTCTATAGGTACTGAAGTTGTGTATCTTTTAATTACTTTAAAGTTTTTCCTTTATTAGTCTTTGTGATATTATGTTCCTTTGGTAGTATGACTCATGACAGACGTGACTCAGTATTTGTTCATCAGCTATCCAGATTTTAGCGGTTCCTGTTGCAGGTGGGTCAAGAGGTGCAATTATGATGCAAGAGGTTTTTAAAGAGTTGTTTTCACTTGATACAGTTGTCTTTATATTTTACTTGATTTGTACTTTATTGAGAAAGTGTAAACTTATATGATGTATGTACTATCAACTACAAAAACTTTTTGTTGCTGTCTTTGTCAAATTTACTATCAACTACAGAAGAAAAAAAAAAGAAAAAAAATTCTTGTTGGCAACTATGTAGATTTATTTGTATGTAAATGTTTGAGTTTTTAGTCAGATTTGTATGTTGGTGATGTATGTGTACACAGTTTTGCTGTTGAATCCATTTATTGTCACATAAACCTATTATCTCTGTTTGGGTTGCTCACCCAATTGTACATGTAGTAAAAAGATACTTGTCTAGAACATTTGTAGGTAAATCCAGTTCATAAGCATGGATGGAAATATCTCTGCATGGTCACAACAAAATGATGATATGGATCTGATGCTGTTAAAATTGGCTAATATCAAATATAATTCACTCTCTAATAAAGTCGCAGTTTATATTGGTCGTTCAAAATTCAGATAACATTAAAATGTCAAATTATGCACAACACAAATATCGTCAGCATTAAATACTCAGCTTGTAGGGATAATTCATAATCCAAAAGTGAAAAGTTTAGAAGTAATATATACAAAATATGTTACTGCTTCATTACTATCCTATATAAAATTGCTTTAACACTAGTTTTGACATTTGATAAGATGTCCTTATTCCTTTTTTGTCTTTCAGCTTGTAATATTCCAGTTTAATGGATTATTATAGTCCAATGGTTCTCATAAGGAGAAATCCTTATTAATCCTCCTACACACACCTTTCCATTTGCAAGACATTTTGATATTAGTTATTCCAAAATAAATGTGTATTTAGTCTGAATCAAAATTAAATAGTTCAAAAATCTGTATACCCTGCTTTGGTAAAGTATTAATCCAAATCACTGAAATATTAAGAAGTTTTTAGCTAAGCCACTTTTTGAGCAAAAATTATTCTTTTAACTGCTAAATCTGCATTCAAAAAAACTGGACACTAACGGCAGCATGTACTGGTTTTCAATATACAACTATACTTAATGGGATATTCCTAAATGGGCAGAGCTAAACTACACCCAAGTTTATGTGCAAACAAACAAAGGATAAAGGAATGCCAGATGCCACAAGTGGTCACTAATTAACAAAACATGTATATTTGTAATGGAACTGATGTAATTAAACACCCTGCTAAGAACATCTGATAAACTCACATGTAGCTGATTAAGATATGATAATAAATCTGTTTCTTCTCAATAGTAGAGAAAACAAAAAAAATCCTGGGAAAATCCTAAAATAATGATTACTGAGTGTAATGGAAATCAAACTGTGTATAAACATAACTTATATAACATATAATTAACTACTATTTTATTGGCCAAAACCTATCTGCATACAATTTTCTCACTAACAAAACAAGTGTAACTGTAAGCTACTGCTCACTGATGATACCCCAGCCGCAACTTGATTATTTTAATAATGTTAAAATATGTAAGTGTTCTGTAAACAGGAAGTTGTTGTTGAGTGATGAATCTAAAAATGCATCACATGTTACAGCTTACTTTAATATATAAACCCTGAAACCAAATTTCCTGAGAAAGATGCAACGAAAAATATTCATGTGACAGAGGGACAGATAGACATAGGTAATACAGTATACTTTTATTTTTTCAAAGTTGGGGTATAAACATTGAATTTGAAAGAATGTTTTTGAATTTACAGTATAAAGTTTTTTTGTCAGCAGATATTACATAGGTAACCATGGAAGCATCGCGCGATCATCACCAGTTATCCCATCTGTCATGTTTTTTCTCAGCCGCAATAAAGCAAGAGTTTAATCGATATTATTTTCTTCCACATTGAACAATTTTTTTCAATTCTAGTTTACACATGTTTGCTTCCTCACTGCTGATTAGACAATTTTACCCTTGAAATTCATTTATTAATAAAAGTTTACATTTTCTTCCTTTATTTCAAAATAAATCATATTCACAAGTTTATCAATCCAAAAACTGCTAGTTCTCTATCAAAACTTACTGATTTTAGAAAAGTCAAACCTATTCAACTTTTTTTCTGATAAAAAATTTAACTATATGTCCTAAATCTTCACTTGGTGCAGGTAGCAATTTCAAAGGATCTAACTACATAAGAAATCTAGACAACCTCTGGGTTCCAACCATAAAAACTACTCTTCTAATAATCTAAATTTTCTACATGGTCTGCTGGTGCCAAATATTTTCTAATGGGTAATTTTCAGCTATGAAATGGGTTGACATTTAATGATAAGGTCAAATGGTAATGATTACTGATGTTAATATTAAAATAGCTAAGAACAAAGCTGCTTGATGTAGTCTGACATAAAATAAAAGATAATCCTCTTCTAATTATCTCTAGTGATTTTCACATACAACATATACAAATATATGTACTGAACTCTCCATCTTTTCTCATGTGTGATACAAATGGCAATGTATATTTTGTCTTTATTAACGCATATTATTCTGTTTTTTCTACCATGGGTTATTCAGGTAGAAGCAGACATTTTACCATTTAAACATGTCTTGTGTGAAAATCGTTTTGCTTTAGCACTATGATTGATTGTTGTTTGCTTTACGCCGCATTAGCACAGAAAGGCTATATTGCGGCGAATTTTAGCACTATGAATATTTTGTTCCTGATTTGGAGAAGTGCAATTTACTATCTCACTTCTTATATATTTATAAATCTTCTATAAGAGAAGGTATGATAACAGCCATTATTAGGTCCTTGAAACTGCAAAATAAGTGTGATTTTTTAATCTTCATCAATTATTTAAATGATAATCTTTATTTGACCAAACATGTCACAGTTTAAAAAAAAGAAATATTAGCAACAGAACTATCTAATATCTTTGTAGGCAAACTGCAAATCATATCTAAAAATGTTAACTGATTATTTAATGTTTTTCCTTTGATAAAATAAATTTGATGGTCTAAAGATAATATGAAATCAACATTCAAATATTTAATTACTTATTTCTCAAAGACTTACAACTAGTCAACAACTGTAAAGTGTTGTTTTCATATACAAGAGATCAGAAAGAGGCTTCATCATACTTTCTGCATTACTTCAAACCACTTTTGTAAAATCCATAGAAATTTCAATTAAAAAGAAATTTCAGATTGATGTCATATAAAAATGAACATACTTCATGTATGCAGAAATTGCCATGCAGAAAAAAATTATTAGCCACTGTAAAATAAGGTTTAAGTAACATAAGATATTAATGATTGGATAATTTGATATAAAATAACCAAAACAGTCACCTTCCAATATATGCTGTTCTAAAATAAATGTACAGTGGTAGCTGTTCAATAATTTTGTCCAAAAAAAAAGTATATTTCATTCAATATATAAAAGTGCTGGATCTTATTTTTCTATCATAATGCACAATTGTAAGGTCTATTTCAATCTCTCATATTGGTTCTGTTTTAACACGTTATTTACCTGAATGTTATGTATAAAGACATACAAGGACTATTCTTTTGTCCATAACACATGGCTAAAATTAAACTAACACAGATAGAATATATTTTGGATGATCGCAGTTAAATGGTAAAAATCTTATAATGAATGCAAATTTATTTGTTTAAAAAAAAGAATAATAGAAATACAAACCAACTCAATTTTTTCAAACTTTATTTGTCGGTCATACTGCAAACAACATTTTGGCAAGGAGAAAGCTAAATATCATGTTGTAATAACGATCTTTATAAACCTCTAAGCTTTTAGAAAATGAATTTATCATATATTTAAAACATGATATTTTAGTCTAGCCTACTTTTCCCTAAATACGAAAATAAAAAGTTGGTTTATATTTTTTTTTAACAAAATATTTCCTCAAACACATGTATTTAGCAGTCAACAAAGATGAGATTGTGAAATGTGGAAGAGATGATGAAAGAAGTTTGAACGTGCATTTGTGAATGATTTCAAAGTTTGAAGTCAGTGATTGTTAGTCTTCAAATTATAGCTTCTAAATTCTTAGGAAAAGAAAGGTAGATTAGATATTTTATTAAAATCTGACACTGAACTTTTTCATCCTGTCTAAAGCATTTTCCCCTTCTACCAATCCCTGCCAGATTTTTATCTTATCGCCTTTATAATTAACCAAATCAAGTGAAAAAACCACACTAAATGGCTTGTGAAGCTGAACATGGAACTCTGTTTTTTTCTTTTTTTCTATTTCAAAAGCACTAACTTGAGTGACTATAGAGACATAGATTCTAAAAATCAGCTGAACATTTACTGAATATTTGTGCTCTGATTTCATTCATTTTCTTTTTTGAAGATGTTTTATTGTTAAAATGCAAACTATACCTGGTTCCCAACTGATTTAGTCTTTAATACAAGACATACTTTATAAATAATACATGTTAGATGTTAAAATACAAAATGACCATGCATATATGATTAAATAAATGCCCACAATCCATTGTTAAACGGTTCCTATTTTCATATATTGGATAATTAAATGAGCTTCATAAAGCATTCTATATTAAATCATTAAAATTGTCGAGGTATAATACTGACTTTTTGCAATAAGACGTGTATTTAAAAATATAGAACAATTTTTAAATATTGCAGTAGATTTTTTTACCTTTAAAATAGTTTTTTTCTACTATAATTTTTTCTTTCTTCTAAAATGAATCTTTGATTACCACGTGTACCTATAAATATGTACCTTATAAATATGTACCTAAGTATTAGTTTAAAGCAAATACTTCTTTGCACTCAACCTATGAAAGTTTAACGTAAAGATTTTTTTATCCTGCATTAGATTTTCACAAATTTTTATACATGACTGTTTGATACAGGGTATTAATATAACTTTTCTTTAGGAAATTTGATTTATCAAATTATAGTTTATACACAACACAATGTATCTTCTATCTAGAGTTTAGAAGCCTCTGTCAATCTATTTTTAGATTCTATTATTGTTTACTACTAGAGGGAGTATATGTTTTGATGACCGCATTATCAGATTGACAAACTTACCTACATGTGTATCATATGTATGTTAATCAGCTATCCCACCCACTGTCCCCAGCTACTCCAATCTGGGTTTCGAATAATATACTTGTATCTTACCAGTATGTAACTGTTAGTGTATAGATAGATAGTGAAGCTTCATATTTTATTAAATCTTTTTTTATATCAAACTGATAAAACTGATTTTTTTTTCATATTTGTTAAGATCCAGTCATGTGACTTTAATTTTTTGTATTAAAAATTACATTGACTAGGTTTCATTTTCATCTGAAGGATAAAACAAACAAAAACCAAGTCTATTTGTCAATTAAAATAGGTTTCATTAATCTTAATAACCACACAGACCTCATTTTATGCTCTCAGTCATTACTGATTAGTAAAGTATCTGTCAATTTTGATTAGTAAAGTTTCAGTCATAACCGATTAGTAAAGTATCAGTCAACTTTGATTTGTAAAGTTTCAGTCAATATTGATAAGTAAAGTTTCAGTCAATATTGATAAGTAAAGTTTCAGTCAATATATTAGATTAGTTGAGTTTCAGTCAATATTGATAAGTAAAGTTTCAGTCAATATAGATTAGTTGAGTTTCAGTCAATATAGATTAGTTGAGTTTCAGTCAATATTGATAAGTAAAGTTTCAGTCAATATTGATAAGTAAAGTTTCAGTCAATATATTAGATTAGTTGAGTTTCAGTCAATATTGATAAGTAAAGTTTCAGTCAATATTGATAAGTAAAGTTTCAGTCAATATTGATAAGAAAAGTTTCAGTCAATATAGATTAGTTGAGTTTCAGTTAATATAGATTAGTTGAGTTTCAGTCAATATTGATAAGTAAAGTTTCAGTCAATATTGATAAGTAAAGTTTCAGTCAATATTGATAAGTAACGTTTCAGTCAATATAGATTAGTTGAGTTTCAGTCAATATAGATTAGTTGAGTTTCAGTCAATATCTGATGATGATGGAAGTGTTTAACGACCTTGACTGGATATACATCCCTAGCACGGTCAGTATTAGTCAATATATATTTATTAGTAAAGACTATGTAAAGTTCTTTAATCCTAACTTAAAAATTGTTTACCTCTTCCTTCTCCTTATTTTCTACTTCAATATCGAATAATATACTTGTATCTTACCAGTATGTAACTGTTAGTGTATAGATAGATAGTGAAGCTTCATATTTTATTAAATCTTTTTTTATATCAAACTGATAAAACTGATTTTTTTTTCATATTTGTTAAGATCCAGTCATGTGACTTTAATTTTTTGTATTAAAAATTACATTGACTAGGTTTCATTTTCATCTGAAGGATAAAACAAACAAAAACCAAGTCTATTTGTCAATTAAAATAGGTTTCATTAATCTTAATAACCACACAGACCTCATTTTATGCTCTCAGTCATTACTGATTAGTAAAGTATCTGTCAATTTTGATTAGTAAAGTTTCAGTCATAACCGATTAGTAAAGTATCAGTCAACTTTGATTTGTAAAGTTTCAGTCAATATTGATAAGTAAAGTTTCAGTCAATATTGATAAGTAAAGTTTCAGTCAATATTGATAAGTAAAGTTTCAGTCAATATTGATAAGTAAAGTTTCAGTCAATATATTAGATTAGTTGAGTTTCAGTCAATATTGATAAGTAAAGTTTCAGTCAATATAGATTAGTTGAGTTTCAGTCAATATAGATTAGTTTAGTTTCAGTCAATATTGATAAGTAAAGTTTCAGTCAATATTGATAAGTAAAGTTTCAGTCAATATATTAGATTAGTTGAGTTTCAGTCAATATTGATAAGTAAAGTTTCAGTCAATATTGATAAGTAAAGTTTCAGTCAATATATTAGATTAGTTGAGTTTCAGTCAATATTGATAAGTAAAGTTTCAGTCAATATTGATAAGTAAAGTTTCAGTCAATATTGATAAGAAAAGTTTCAGTCAATATAGATTAGTTGAGTTTCAGTTAATATAGATTAGTTGAGTTTCAGTCAATATTGATAAGTAAAGTTTCAGTCAATATTGATAAGTAAAGTTTCAGTCAATATTGATAAGTTACGTTTCAGTCAATATAGATTAGTTGAGTTTCAGTCAATATAGATTAGTTGAGTTTCAGTCAATATCTGATGATGATGGAAGTGTTTAACGACCTTGACTGGATATACATCCCTAGCAAGGTCAGTATTAGTCAATATATATTTATTAGTAAAGACTATGTAAAGTTCTTTAATCCTAACTTAAAAATTGTTTACCTCTTCCTTCTCCTTATTTTCTACTTCAATATCCAAGAAATCCATATTTGGTGGGTCTTTAAAATCATCCTAGAAAAATACAATATATATAATTCAACTAAACAAAATAATGAAGAAATCATTTTCAAATTAATTTGATAAAAAGACTAGCTTGACATTGTCATTCATACATCTATTATTTTACTTTCTGCTATAAAATTTAATGCTGATGCTGCTGAATTTCTATAATACTTACATGAACTCTGAACTTAGGATGGAACATCACATAACCATTGGCATTAATAGCAAAGCTGTATCCATTTGGGCAAAGCTGAAACATAAATGAAAAGTCTGACAAAACCATTTTAATAAGGCAAACTGTCAAGATCATATATAAAGCATAGATATATAGGGAAATTATGCTAGTAAAGTTGATGTCTGACAATCAAAATAAGCTTTGTGTAAGAAAGACATACCAAAAACTAGATTTTCCAAAGAGACATAGGCTGCCACAATCATTTCTTAATCTCCTTGCCTGCCTACAAGTATTTTTTTTAATGGAATTATATTTCATTTTACTGCTTTCAAGTCTAAAGATAACCTACTAAACCCTAAACTGAGCTTTAATTGCTCACCAGACTTTTACCTGTTACAGTGAGTTTACTATGGGTGTTACTGTTTAACTTTATACCTATAGCTCAACCTGATTTTAAAATTGACAATACAATAGGGACATTTAAATTGACCAGTTGGTATTGTTAGATTTAAATCTACCTTGATACTACCTGTACAGTTTTTTTATTCACCTATTCCAACCTTACAGCATGCTTTTTTCCTGAAGTATTTCTTCACCTAGGATTTTTCTTTTTAAAAATTGAAAGGGAAGAAAATATTTTTGGTTTTCATTGTTTTAAATCCCCAATATATATGATTTGTCTAATTTTTTTACCTAAAATTCTAAATCAGTAAAAGATTTATCAAATATTTCATGCATTTGTTGAAAACTTTTGATTTAAAAACAAAATCACTTTCCCATGTTTTTTGTTTGGGAATCCTTAAACAAGTAAAGGAAATAAACATTGTAAATGCAATCTTTTTATCATTGAAATGAGTGCATTCCTAGAAGTATTTGGTCATACAATTACCAAAGAAACAATATTTAGAAGTAAATAGAGAGATTTTTATTTTACCGTCATTTAAGGTTCATTATAACAAATGAACAAAAATGGCTGTATTTACACCTCAAAAACTACTCGTTGTACAGACTCACCTGTGCAGTTGGAAAAGTTTTAAGACCTGGCATCAACTAGATATTTAAAAGTTAAATGCATTTTGTGTTTCAGAAAGATAAAATCTTTTTTAGATTTTGATGGGCATTTTTTTTCGTTCCTGCAGAAGGTGTAAAAATACGCAAACACCAAATCACCAGTATCAAAAGCATTTCAGGTGTTTGCTTATTTTTACACCTTCTGCAGGAACAAAAAAAAAATGCTCATAAAAATCCAAAAAAGATTTTATCTTTCTGAAACAAAAAATGCATTTAACTTTTATATATCTAGTGGATGCCAGACCTTAAAACTTTTCAAACTGCACATGTTAGTCTGTACTCAAGAGTAAATTTTGAGGTCTAAACACAGCCATTTTTGTCCATTTGTTATGATGAACCTTAAAATATTAGGAGTGATCAAGCCAAAACAAGAATGTATATGTTATTTTCGTGCAGGGTATTTAATTGCATGGCCTATAATGCACTACATTTCATCTTGATGTTTTCATAGCCAAATACTAGGAGTGCTTAGTACCCTGAATAATCCAGTTGTTATATTTCACTCACTTTGATCGCTACATTTATTTCATTTGTATTGTTGAAAAAAACTTTTTTTTTTTTATCTCTTTGGCTTTTTCTAATGGAAGATAACTCAATATAATTTGCCTTTGCTCTTGTGGAAATCTTAATAAATTTATTATTTCCATAATTTGATGAATACTTATTGACATGTTTTTTGTACAAATTGTTTATGCATATTGAAATATCAAAAAGTAAAATCACAAAAATACTGAACTCAGAGGAAAATCAAATCGGAAAGTCCGTAATCACATGGCAAAATCAAATAGCAAAACACATCAAAAACGAATGGACAACAACTGTCATATTCCTGACTTGGTACAGGCATTTTCAAATATAGAAAATGGTGGATTAAACCTGGTTTTATAGCGCTAAACCTCTCACTTTGTACGACAGTATCATCAAATTCTGTTATATTTACAATGATGCGTGAACTAAACAGACATAATAAATAAAATAGTCAAAATATGAGTACAGCAGTCATCATAGTGTTACAATTTTAAAAGAAACAATTTAACAGAACACAAAAACATCTATCAAATTAAAAACACATTCATTGCTTCGCGTGTCTGACGGCAGAAAATTTATACGTCACATATTTTTGTCGTTCAATTTTATACAAACAATTTTTAAATTTCACATGGGCAATGTTAGCATACAGGGTTAAAAAATCAAAAGTATGTAAGAATTAATTTCAGAAATAGACCGAGATTTAAAAAAGTCCAAAAGTTCTATAGAATTTATGAGAATCCACAAATGGTTCATTCCACTATGTGATTAAATAATTTTGACGTTTGTGATTCAACGTATTTTCTTATTTATAATAGAAATATAACATAATGACATATTATAGAACAATAACATACTGACATGATCTTTTATAAGTACAGAGTCACGTTATAAGAACCAAAAAAACACAAAAAGTCGCATATACAATTATTTACCACACCAGCAAAAATGAAAGATAATACAAACACATTGACGGGATGTATAAGTACCGAGCCACGTTAAATGGATATCACAGAAAACAATCCAACAGTAAAAGTTATATTAATAATAGAACTAAGACAAATGAAAGAACAATATAACACGTTGTTAAGATGATAAACAACGTCAGTACGCAGAATCTATACATCAAGACCATCATGTATTATTTGTGAAGTTGATACGGAATATTTATCAACAAGGTTGGTACCTTCCGATGAACTTTTTTAGAAAAAGGACGAGACGTTCTTTTACATACCCCTGGTTCATCAACTTTCTGCTCAGACACTGATGACATTTTACAAAGTCTGAATAGGAGCTGCAAGCTCTTGAATATCAAATAAGTTGGGAAATGTATATCCCATATGCAGGTGAAGTTGGTATTTTGCTACTAAGGTGGGGGAAAATTATAATTTCAAAATTAAAATCGTCTCGTTTGTCATAGATTCTGGTACTGAGATGACTGTGTAAGTCAAATTCGAGATATAAGTCTAAAAATGAGGCGGTGGAAGCCGTGTCTGCTGTTTATTTAATTTCTAGATAGGGGGGATATATTAATTGAACCCAATCAGAAAAGTTCGGATTGTTTATGGAAAGAACATCATCAATATATCTGAAAGTGAAATCAAATAATCTGGCTTCTTTGATCGTCTTGTTTTTGTTTGACAAGTGTCTGAAGGAACTCCGATTCATATGAAAATAAGAAGAGGTCGGCAAGGAGAGGCGCACAGTTTGTTCCCATAGGAATGCCGACATTTTGTTGAAAAAGTCTACCTCCAAACTCAACAAATATGTTGTTGATAAGAAACTCCAGCATACTGATCACATGTTCTTCTGTGTAGCATGTTTTACCTTTTTGTTTTTCACTATTAACAAAATATGCCTTATGATATCCCAAAGTAATAAATTTATAGCGTATGCTACCATTTTTATGTTGAAAGGCATTGTGGATTATTTCTTTCAGGCGATTTTTTAATTTCAAATGGGGAATGGTGGTATACAGGGTTGAAAAATCAAAAGTTTTGATAGAACTAATTACAGAAAAAGACCGAGATTTAAAATTATCTAGAAGTTCTTTAGAATTTTTAAGAATCCTCATATGGTTAATACCACTACACGAGTAAACAGTTTCACAGTATTTCTGAAGACCCTCTTTCACTGCGGACAGAGTTTTAGTCAATATAATGGACAATTCTTTAGTGGAACATGAAGATGAGCCAACAATATACCGTTGCTTGTACGGAATTTTATGAAGCTTAGGTATCCAATACAAACAAGGTAAGTCCTCCGATTTGGTGTTCAATGTAATGTTCATTGAAGCCATGAAGGACTTATGATTTGCTAAAATCTCATCCTTGTCAAATGATATGTCTTTTGTAAGGGGGATTACCTGAGTGCTCATGGTTGAATAAACAATTTTATTCATTTATTGACACTGATATTTGACATGTCATCCGGAATTCCAAATATTCTAAATAATTCCTAATTTTATTCATTTTTCACTACGTCACAAGATTTTTTTCTATATCCATAGTATATTCTGTTTAATTTCCCATGATATACATCCCAATTAAACAGGGGCAGAATTTCTATATAATTCAGAATCTTGTAATTTTTTTTAGCATTTTCATTATTATATTCAAAATAGTTATCCTCAATTTACAAATATTTTGTGATATTTTATTCATATTTTTACTATATCACTTGATTTTTACTATATCCACAGTATACATTTTTATTTCATTTCCTATGATATATGTCCAAATAAGACAATAATTGATCCAGAATTTTATAATGATTATTTCCAATTTCACATTCACTTAAAACATATCGTCAGGTTAGTAATATTTTGGAATATTTTACTTTTATTTTTCACTTTATTACTAGATTAGACTATATCCACTGCATAATTCATTTCATTTCCAAGATCCCATTGAAATGGTGAATCATCTTTGTAATAGGTCCCAAAATTAGTTATGAATGTTTTCAAAATCACATTTAAAGCCACAGAAACATGTTGGTTGAATTCACATTATATCTCCTACTGGAATTCCAGTTTTGAAATTTTTTAATCTTTAACATAACTAAATCCCAACTTATGAAAATTGAATTTTCCTTGAGTGAACACAGCATTTTATGCACAAAAGTCATATATATATTATAGTAGATTTTAAAGAAAAAATACTACAAAATCAATTCTGGACACAACTATCATATGTATATAAGGGTTAAAATTTTAAGGATTATGTACCCTTGTGTTGATTCAATGCTAAACATATGGAAATATTTTATAGAAAATCCACACCCTTTATCCTTGTACTCTCATTTTTGGCAATTTGATGACTGATAGATAGAGTGTTATTGCATGCAGTGCTAGCATTGATTTCCTTAAAACAAGTTTCTTAATGTAGTTATAGGCTAAAATAAATATAAATGTGGACCAAATCAAGTACACCTTTTAGGGTGCGCTCGACTTTAGTGACTCAGCATGAGCTGTTTTG